AGCCAGGGTTTTCATACAAAGGTTTTCGTACAGAACACACTATACAATACAACTGGTGATAACCAGGCATATAGACTAACATTTTCATATACTACTACAAGATACAATAACGAACGTACATTTTGATCTTAGGGTTTAAGACTACTTTTCATTACTAAAGAAAATATTGGATTTTCTTGAGAACATGCAAACATTTTACAGATTTACAGACAAGTTTTCATTACAAAAACATACTTATGAACTCACCAGCTTAAATGCTGATACTCTTTCAAAACCACTTGTATTCTCAGGGAACCGGTAGACAGGTACACCCGTAGATTTTTGAGAAGACGGAGCTTTTAGAGTCGCGTCTTTTATACTTTTGGTTATACATTTTGTTGTTATACGATCTATGTATCGAACAAATGTAAATATTCTACTTATTCAATGTAATGGTTGTGTTTGCTTTGATTACTATGATGCAATTGTTGTGATACTGTACGTGACGTCCTCCACCCCCGAACGTTTCCGCCGTCTTAGTTTTGGGGTGTGACATGTATGCTGGGCGTAAGGTGAAGCACGCAGCGTGTACGACTAAAGGGTCGAGTACGCTAAGCGTACTGGTGTGGTACGCCGGGCGTACACACCACAGGAAAGTTGGGCTTGCAAGCTTATTGGGCCCTATTCAGCCTTGAGCCTGGTCCCATTCAGACTTATTGGAATTTTGTTCTAGTTGGGGCATTGATGTCATGTTTGGGCCTTATTGGGCCATGTGGCCCATTGTAGTTTGGACTTTGATCTTGGGCCCATTAATGTAGGTTAGACATTTGGGCTTTAATGGTGGGCTTTAGATTAAGATGTTGGGCCTTTTTTAAGTTGTGACTTAATTCTAATTAGGGTGTTTTGTATATTTGTTCAGTGTGAGAGTTTGGGCTAGTAGTGGAGCAGCTTTTGTGTTTAGCAGACTGAGGTGAGTCTTCTCACTATACCAATGGGTCGAAGGCACCAATGCTGACTCATTACTTGATGTAAAATCTCTATAAATGATTATGCATTGGCCTTTTATTTGGTGTGTATTGATTTACGTGAAGACCATGGGGGAGCCCATGACACCTGGTAAGACCATGAGGGGGAGCCCATGACATTTGGGTATAAGACCATGGAGGTAGCCCATGACATCCCGGTTGAAGACCATGGAGGGAGTCCGTGGCAGCTCTATGTGTATATGTGCATGGAATTATATGATTATGTGATTTGTGTATTTTGGGAAACTCATTAAGCGTGTGCTTACAGTTTTGTTGGGTGTTTCAGGTACTTCTGGTTCTAAGGGTAAGGACCCGACTTGATGGCGCAACGTGCACTCTCCAGTATTCAACACTAGTTGTTTTGGATACTCTGATCTTTTAAACAATATGTTATGTAATGGAATTTTGGGATAATAAATATGAATGTGATTTCGAAGTATTAAATGGAAAAAATTTACCTAAGTTTTTGGGCTGTTACATTTTAATTGGGGAGATAGTTGGGAAGAGTCGTAACTTTCACTGAAACTAAAAGCCATTATGTGTACTTTTGCAATTTTGTGTTTAGGTAAAAGTTAATAAGAAAACAAAATGATTAGTTGGGGTATCATTTTCCATATCTCACAAGTAAATCGTCATTAGCCAAAGTAGGACTAGCCAATTTTGTAGAGGTTTTGCCTCTTAGATTGGAGGTCTCAGATTCTATTTTTGGCGTTGGTGATTCATACTAACTTGGTGATACTAACTCTAACTACTAACCACCCGTTCAAAAGAAAATAAATCATCATTATTACAATTAGTATAGGATCGATCAAATCAAAGTAAATCATCATTATTACAAATAGTATACAATCGATCAAATCAATTAATTATCAAAATTTTGTATGAGGTGTTATTATACATTCCATCCTATACTCTATTATACTCCACCCTGAAAAATAGTTACAAAATTAAAAAAGAGTCGATAAAAATTAGTCCACGTAGGTCAAAATGGAGTGGAGTGTAGTTAGTAAATAGACTGAAGTGTATAAATAAAAACCCTATGAAATAACCTATTTCATTTGTTAAAATTTGGTATAAAAATGTAAGTTTCAATTTGGAACGAGAAAAATATTGTCTAGATCATATAAGAACGTCGATAAAGGTAAGGGAGCTGCAAACATTTTAATATGAAGAAATGTAATTGTTGTGAAGATGATGAATGTACTTATTATAATTTTTTATTGTGGTGGGGAATTTCCGTCAATGGTAACTAATAATATGTTAACTTCTATATAGGGCTTGAACTCAACTAAAGAGACATCAAAAACTGAAATCAATTTATTGTACGTAGGAACAATAACACATAAGATACCAAGAGAAAGAAGAAATGTATTACCCATAAGAAGAAAAAAAATTGAAGTTGCAGAAAAACGTATATCTAATGCAAGTATAAACACTTTATTAGCTCATTCATACCACTACAATGTCACGAGTCTTTCAAACATGTCACATCAATTTTTGGCTTTTGCAATCACTTCTATATCAATGCAATATCACTCACATTTTAAAAATGGTTCTTACCACCACATCAACAATTAATTTATACATTTTAATATTTATTTTAAATATTAATAATTAATAATTATTTAGTATCAAATTAACATAAAATGCAGTAATTTAGTGATACAAACATTTAACTAAACATATATATGCACTACGAGCAACGTATATAGACATTATAAAAGAAGTCAAAAAACAAAGACTAACTTTAAAAAAGTTACGATTAATAAATAAATAAATAATTTAACAAAAAATTGATTTTTATAAAGTTGATAAAATGATCTTTTTAAAATATGTTTGAAGTCAAATATACTAGTAGAAACAAATACTATCTCCGTCACATTTGACTTTTAAATTTTTTATTCTTTAACTTTGACATTAAATATTTTATTTTATAGATAATACTTGATGCAAAACATATGAATGAATTGTATTTTAAATGTATTTTTATTATTATAAGTTTCATCAAGTAATATATAACACAAATAAAAATATTTAAAGCAAAAAAAAAGATTTCAAAAGTCAAAAGGGGACAGTTAATTTGAGACGAATGGAGTATTGAATATTCAATGTTGGACTGTGGATACATAGTATTATTAAAGATTTAAAGTAGTCTTCCTATAAAAATAATATAATATTATTAAAATGATTAACTTTTGTAAGTTTTTCAGACGGTAAAAGACAAATCCAACGTGGTTTTCAATTTGACTTACTTTTACAAGTTTTTCAAACTATGAAAGACCAAATCCAATGTGGTTTTCAATTTGGCTTTGTAGGGGCTTTGCAAGGCCTGTTGTGGAAGGCCTTAGGTTGGAGGGTGTAATGTCATGGTTCTGCCATGAAAAAACACTCCATCTCAACTCCACATAGGATTGCGGTGTGGTAAAACCATAGAATAGGTATGGTGGGGAGAGAGAGATTGTTTCTTGCTATCGCACCCACACCTTCTAGTCTTAATGCTCCATTGCTTTTGTCATCTTAAAAAGGGCATCCAATAGAAACAAGAAGTTGTCGATGGACAAACACCGTTTCCATTATAATTTACGAAAAAATGAAAATAAATATAGTTAGACTCATATCATGTCTAGTTTTGTATTTATTTAGTTAGGATATGTTGTACTAGTTCTACTTTTATTTTTGTTTAGTGATGAGGCGTTGTATTAATTGTAGTTAAATTATAAACATCCATTGCACCACCCTACTAAATATTTCCAAAAAAAATATAAATACTGAATGTCTATTGAATCTCATTATTAATAGAGTATCATTAACTAGTGAGTTTGGACAACTCCATATGATAATAGAGTATCATTAACCAGTGAGTTTGGACAACTCCATATGATACCACTCTGCTATTTATTTGTATCACGATATGTTAAATCAATATAAAAACATGGTCTTTTATGCCAAAATGAGTTCTTTCTTTTGAAAAACTTTCATCTGGGGATGAACAAATATATGTATATGATATGTTAATGAGATTAACAAACACTTTTAAAGTAAATGATAAAAATACTTTTGATAACGGTACACAATGCTAGTAATCATGGTAACACTATTAATCGAATGAGACAGTTTTGAATCCAATATGTGATGAGAAGTTTTATCACATACATTGTTGTCATGTTTTCAACTTGACAATATGTTTAAATAAAGGAATCCCACCTCCCAAATTTTAGAACATCAAACGAGACAATTTTTAGAAACGGACCTATTCAACATCAAAGATGGAAATTTTTTTAAAAAAGAGGAAATGAGTAAGACCTTTAAGAATGGTTGTAAATATGCTTACTAGGCGAAACTCTCTTTACCTAATGATTGAACATTTGTTAAAACAAGAATTATTAACCAAATATCATAGAGAAAAAATTTCTCCATTTTGTCTAAGACGATATTGCCCCGTTAGTGGAGTACTGTATCAACAATGCTATCACAAATTTATTCTCCAACATCAAATGTTATTTCTCAAATGATGCTAACACACGTAAAATATTTTGAAAACTTTCCACTGATTTTTATGATTGCTTCGGGATTAAATCCATGTGTAAATTTTAAAGGTGTAATCGAGAGCATACCTAATTGGGTCTAGACGACGTAGATATAATTAAAAATATAACAATTTTTTTAAGACACTATTAAAGAATTATATATTATATATAATATACGATAATGAATATTCAAGTCGAGATACAAGTCATGAATAGTGAACTTCTATCATGTGGTCACCAACTCATCAAACTAGTTCTTGCTGGAGATCACCATGTTTATTTAATATTGACACCTCTTGGTTTAATGACTATTCTCAATCAAAACGTTTGAGAGTATCAAAACCTTTAGTCATGGTGCCAATATTAAATGAACAAAATTTAATATAATATAACTCTCAAACCCAACAACTCAAACATGACGAACGAACCACATAGCCTTATCTAATATCTATCATCAATAATGTAAATACGACTTCTAGAAAAATGTTTAGCCACAACTCAAATATGTTATATGCACGTGTCATAAACTGATAATCACATTGTGTATGACAAATTCTTATAGTTTATACATACCCTCATCGTCTTATAACAAGTTACAGAAATGGAAAACTAACAACAATTCATAGCCTTCTTTAAAAGGAAATCTTTAAGAAAAATAGGCAAATGGTATATAATGGCAGATATAATGGAGTACTGACCATAAGAGAACCAAGAAGGAGGGTCTTGTTTGAGGATTGCATCTACTGTCTTTTCTGCAAACTCTTGAGATGGAGTCGCATTTGGTCCTTGTGAAAAATAAGCTCGTTTCTTGATTGCAGCCTCGTATTTCTTGTACAGTTTCAATTCCGGTATCTTACTGTAATTGGCTATTGCTGAATCCCCAAGGTTTGATCTTATGGCTCCAGGTACAACGTTAGTTACATTGATCCCTAATGGCTTCAATTCCAACCTGTTCCATTCAATTACATCGATTAATGACTGGAATGAAATTGAATCAGGACTGAATGGAATTGGAATCAGAACAGAGTGACAAACCGTAATGTATCAGTTAGCGAATGTATAGCAGCTTTAGATGCATTGTAGAAACCTGACCATGGTCCAGGGGTCATAGCAGATATACTTCCAATGTTCACAATCTTCCCCTTCTTTCTAGATGCCATGTGAGGAACAACGGCTTGAATCAACCTTAAAGTACCTACATAAAAGCTAACTGTTCATGGATGAAGGAAGTAATTATTGTGGAACAGGATTCCGGTTCTCTCCGGTGTAACATTCACTAATTAATCGAGTTATTGGAAATGAACACTTATCTCGAGTTGATGCAATCAAGAACAACTGAATCATAGAAACAACAGATGAAGAATATCACTGATATTTTCTAAATGATCGAATCAAGCTCATAAAACACGAGCATGAGATAATACCGAAAACATTGGTGTTAAACGTATGTTGAGCGGAAGAAAGAGGGATTTCTGCAAGAGGACCAATACACTGAACTCCAGCATTATTGACAAGAACATCGATCCGCCCAAACTTATCGATTACATTCGAGACAACCTCTACAACACTCTCATCCCTCAACACATCAAGTTCCTGAAGAAAGAACATATCACTCTTATCGTTCAAATCCGGCATGGAAGAAAGCGAACGCGCTGTCGCAACAACGAGACAGTTCCTGGCGGCGAAAGCGCGGGCCAGGGCGTTTCCGATGCCGCCGGAGGAGCATCCTGTAATGAGCACCACTTGTTTGTGAAAAGTCTCCATTCAGAATTGTTCAAGGTGTAATTCGATCGATATCATCCAGATTCAGTAAATATAGTCTTCAAATGTGCTAGAAAAACATAAGCGGTTTTGGTGGGGCCCGCCCGAACAGTCTTACGTGATGAAAACAGAGTCAATTCCCTCGTTTTCTAATTAATAAATGTAAATTTAATATATATATATATATATATATATATATATATATATATATATATATATATATATATATGGTAAGGTTCAATAGAGAACCATAATTAACTAAGGAACCAAGGAACCAATCTTTTTTTCAACTTTTAGAACTTATTTTTTATCAAAAAAAAAAACTAAAAATACAAAAATTCATAACTTTTTATCCTTTTTGCAATGATATCAAATTCGATTTTTTTTAACGTCAAATTCACAATGTGAATCTTTGAAAATTCACAATGTGAATCCGGATTCACACGGTGAATCCGAAAAATATTTTTCACATTCACAATGTTAATATATGAATTTAGATATATTTAGATTTTTTTTTTCGATAAAGAATAAGCTCTAGAAATTGAAAAAAAGATTTGGTTCCTTGAAGAACCAATAATTATGGTTCTCTATTCAACTTTTCCCTATATATATATATATATATATATATAGAGAGAGAGAGAGAGAGAGAGAGAGTTCATGTGATAAGGAGACGCAGTCCTAGCCATTAATTTTGTACATAAAAAAATATTTTAAAAATGGAAAATAATTGAAATTTTTTGAATTTTTTTTTTAAAATATTATTTTCATCATTTATATTTTCTTAAAAAAAATATTAAAAAAAAATAAAAAAAAAATTATCGTTTTTTGAAATATCTATGAAATATTCTAGTAGAATATTAGAATATTTTACATATCTGACAAATTTAATAGGATACTACAATATTTTAAATTCTAAAAATCACATTAGAATATTTACAGTGTAATATTCCATTATAATATTTTACGTATTTTTCTTAAAAAACGGTAATTTTTTTAATTTTATTTTTGTTTTTTTAGCTGAATAAAATGATGAAAATAATAATTAAAAAAAGAATTTTCGGATTTTTCCTTTTATTTTGCAATTTAAATTTATTTTTAGATTGTGTCTCACGGTCTCATAAAATTAACATGGTCTCAAATGAACCTATATATATATATATATATATATATATATATATATATATATATATATATATATATATATATATATATATATATATATATATATAACAAATCTAGACAAAAAAATGAACTTTGTTCCAGATTTTTTTTGTAAAAAAAAAAAAAACCTCAATGGCGGGTAATTAAGTAATTTCATAGGGGTATCATCTATTTAAAAAAAGTATTGCAAATCACAAAATAATGTTATTTTAAAGTATTTTCATAGTATATTTGAGGTCCTATATTTTTTTTTTAATATAAAACCCCAAATATTTTTATTTTTACTTAGTTTTTTAGAAAACTTCAAACATAAAATTCTCTCCAGACATTGTGAAACACTTAGATATATAGGAACCTAGATCTAGGTTCAATGTTTATATTTAAAAGTGTTGATGTCAACTTGTCAAGTACATATATTTTAGCAGGAACTCATACAAAAATATGATAATTTGGGTGGGAACTACGACGCAAATATAACATTTTGAAAGATCCCATTGCGAAAATATGATATTTTGGCAGAAATAAAAATGTAACATTTTGGTAGGAGTTTCTGTCAAATTGTCATATTTTGACAGAAATTTTATGTTAAAACCTATGAACTTAAATCAATATTCTTGAACCGAAATTTGTGTTTGTATACACCCAAAGTGTTTGATCATGTCTTGAAAGAATTTAATGTTTGGATTTTTTTAAAGATGAAATGAAAATATGAAATTTGGGGTTTTTATACAGACAAAAATATAGGACCTCAAAAGTACTGCGAAAATACTTCAAAAACGTCGTTTTATGATTTTGGAATACTTTTCGTAATTTGGCTTGAACCTTTATGAAATTGTTGGCTATTGAAGTTATTTACTCAATTTTTTGTCTATTTTCTAAAACAATGTTAAGAATTTGTCTATATTTGTTTTTTTCTCATTAGCTTGTTTTCAATAAATTAACTGATGATTAAATATGGATACAAATCGTTAGACTTTTATATAATTTTTTAGGATGGAGGGAGTCATTTCCTCCCAACTTATTCCACCCACTGTCACATTAGCTTCACATCAGTATTTCTCTCTTCTTTCTCTTCCATATAATCTAACCTACAACACATGGAAACCATATCTTTTCAACTCACTCAACCCACTCAATTTTTTATTTTGAAATAAACACAAATTAATAAAAATTATACAAAACTAATTTACATAATATTAAAAATATACAAACTAATTTAGAAACTAATTAAAAATATATAAAATTATTTTGGTATAAGTTTGATGCATATTGTACAAATGATTAATGCAAAAGTTGAAAATGATAGAATCACGTTAGTGAAGCAGTGTATGTAACCCACTCGATCCACGAATGTTAACCCACTAAGTAAGGTATCTATCATTCTTTGCGGTACCTCCCATAAACTTTTTGATGATACCCTCCTCCCTTAGAGAGGTGGGTGTGGGCAACGCCCACACGAGTTACTAGGCTAAAAAACAAAAAAACGCCGTTACCAAATGTGATGGTGGTAACGGGAAATAACGCGAAAGCCCCTTTAACATGTAATAACGGGAGGGAGGGGAGGTGTTCATTGGCGCTATCACGTGTTATGAGACACAATAACGGGAGTGGGCGTTGCCCACTCCGAGTAGTCTTAGAATGAATTCAACAAAACTAAATAACTAAATCCAAACACATGTTTAGTCTAAAGTTATATAGCTAAAAGACATCGATTTTAACGTGTAAAAACGAATAAATGATTCGGTGATCAAATTAATCAATATTCAATTAAAAATAATAATAATAATAATAATAATAGAATTAAAAAAAGTTAAATAACGAAAGTCACGAAAGAGTTTGTTTTTTGTTGTTTTCCTTGATCTGATTGTTTTAGTGGTCCATTATACCCTTCAAAAGATAGGCAAGTTAGGCATGTCTAAAAATTAGTTAGGCAAATGTCACAAATGCTGCCAATTTTTTTTTGGTTTTGTGTATGAGCCGGAATGTGAAGGAGCATTTATACAATGATGGGCTAAGGTCCCGTTTGATAGTTTCTGTCTGGGAAAGTGCTATCTGGTTAAGTGATGTCTGGGAAAGTTTTCTGACTGGGAAAGAAACTATGCTGTTTGATTGTACATCTGATTGACTGTTCTGAATGATGAAAAAAAGTAATAATTCAATAAAAAAAATAAATTTAAAAAAAATTAATAATCCAATAAAGAAAGAAAGAGACGGGGTTTGGTGTATAATTGTCTTTCCAGCCCATTCAGCCAGAAATATATGATTTTGGGGCTTTCTGGGAAAGACATATCTTACCGGGAAAGACCTATTCTTTTGTGCAAATCAAACAGTCTTTCCGGTCCATTCAGCCAGAAAGATCTGTTTGGACCTGGAAAGATGCGTATCAAACGGGGCCTAAATGTACACTTATATGACTATGAAAAGGATATTTCGCATTCCCCGAAAGTTGGATGTAGACACAAATCAAGTGTGTGACACGCCTTAATATGAAAACTTGGTTAACGATATATATTAAGGACAAACTTTAGATAATTTTAGAAAATGTGACACTTCAATCATTAGGGCGGATAGAGTCGTCCGCAGGTTGAAAGAGAGAGGTGGCGGGTACCGCCAAGATGGCGAATCCGAACAAGAAATGTTATTGTTCGAATGGTGTTTTGCGGGTTCTTCAACGTCTTTTCTTCCTTCTCTCTCCGGACACTCTTTTTATTTTCTCTTGTACCTTGTGCTTGCTTATTTGTACCGTATGTAGTTTTGTATGTTTTTAATTGAGTGAGTTGAATCGGTTGGGAAAGGTGAGTTTTCATGTGTTGTGTGTTCGAAAGATGGAAGAGAGAAGATAAAGAAAAGTTGATTCACCTTGTATGGGGTCTTAGATCGACCTGGTAGGGGTCTTTATTTACTTGTTGTACAAATCAAGTTTCTAAACCACAATAACATCTCCTGAAATGGTGACCATGTCATTTTCACTGACTTGTAAGTGAGTTTGAACCATTGGACCGACCTTCACTTATGTGTTGTATAAATCAAGCTTCCAAACCACAATAAAATCTCCTGAATCGATCAATTGGTTGACATTGCAGTAAAATTGTAAATGTAATGATTTAGAAGTTTGATTTATACACCACATAAATGAAGCTTGATTTATAAATCAACCATTGGACCGACCTTCATTTATGTGTTGTATAAATCGACATTCATTAAACTCTATTTTTGTACCATATAAACTAATAATCAAATTTATAAAAAAAAATTAAAAAAAGAACATAAAGATAAGTTTTTTTAAATAAGTAATCCAAACAACCCTTAGTTTCGTTTTTTCGTTTTCTCTTTGAATAGAAAAACCTAACAGACGGATGAATCAATAAACATAACCAATGAAAATATTTATTTTCCAGGACGAGTCTTTAAATTAACGTAAAAGCAAAGCAATTAATTATTATTATTATTATTATTATTTGTTGACGCTTTTTTTGTTAAACAATAAATTTATTTCTCCTTATGTTTACAAGTTGCAAGTTGCATCTCAACGTTTTATTTGAACAGCCAGATCTTATTAAAAAGCTACTACTATAAATTCCAATCTTCACAATTTACATATTTAAGTTGCTTCGTATTAAAATTTTATAAATGCAAATTTATAATTCCCTACTACTCATGTCTCTAACATTACAATCTCTACATGAAAAACCATCAAACTACATAAGAACATGTATCTCATGCATTATAATTTGTAAGTTGTATGTATGTTGCACTAAACTTAGCAAGAAAAATAAGAATTCAAATATGAAACCATTACATTCACTCAATCAAATTATAATCCACTCCTTTGTTTTAATCAATAAAATGTTGTGTCATTCTCAAGTCAAGATTCAAGAACCCCATTATAGTCAAAGGAGGCCAAGAGTCTTCAGCTGCTGAATGTGCTCTGGCGGCAACGGCGGCGGAGACCAATCATTTCCTGTTATTTCACCGTCAACATCCTCCACCACATATTCCTGTACGAAACAGGATAAGACCGAGTCAGTGTGATATCAAACAGTCTGAATCTAATCGAGTCTGGTAACACTCAGACTGTTCCCAGTCTCACATCAAAAGAGTTTTTATTTTACCTTTGTTAGCATTCTTTTAGCTAAAATATGATAATGTCTTTGCCAAATCCTTTGTCCCACCATTGTAGCCACAAGCACACTGTAGAATATTCCAATCACAGTAAAAAGTCCAAGCACCACTAACGCCATTATAAATATTAACGGCAATCCAGCTTCACCTGCACCCCCTAAACAACCACATTCTCCAGCTGCACTTGCACAACTCTCAAAGCACGTTGTACAATCCGTCCACATACACAGTGTTCCAGGTAGATGGCAATCTGCACAAACTCTTTTGCAACAAAAATAATAATAAAACATTAATAATCATATACCATTATTACATCAAAAAGTTAAATAAATTATTTATTTACCCTGGTTGACAGCAACAAAGACATAATTCTCTACAAGGCTGAGCAAGATCATTACGGACTCTTCGATCATAACATGTTATAAAACATCCGGATAGACCAAGTAGTGCAAAAAATAACAATGCACCTGAACAAAAAAAAAAAGCAATAAAATGGGACATTTTTGTCACGTTCTGAAAGTTGAGGGGGGGTTTATGAAAGTTTACCACATATGTAGTAGAAGCTGGTTTCACTATCGAAACCCCAGGCAAGGCGAAGCCAAAACTTATGGTGTCCATCGATTAGATACACCAAATATGCCAATAAAGAAATCACCTGCAAAAAAGAAGGATATATAAGATGATATTTGTTAGGAAAAAGAAAAAGATGTAGCAACTTACAAGCTGTACAGAAAGAAAGATGAACAAAATGTCTCTGGTAACAAAGAAACGGAACTTCATGGTTCTCCATTTTCTGTCAGCAAGAACATGGACTCTTAAATGATACGGAGCCTTGCATGTTGTGCAATGAGCAAATGCAAATCCTTCCTGCAGGAAATTGGAAATGGATCAAAACTTAAAGGTGGGAATATAATTGGAAATCAGTTTTAGTAAAGTTACAGAAAAAGAGATTAGAGATGGAAAGTATACCCTCACAGCACGCCAATGATCAAGGCACTCCCGATGAACGTACTTTGATGTCCCTCTGCACTTGCAGGGTGCAATAAAATCTCTGCCTGATACAAAAAATTGAAAGATAAAGATTACCAAAAGGATTATCAAATCGCATAAGCAGTTGAGATCAAAGTTTCTAAATAACCCTCTATAACAAATGAAGTTGAAAGCTATAAATCATTACAACGTATCATGTTTATCTGAAGAAGAATGACGATGAGTAAATCAACATATGTAAAGAAGGCCTCCAAGTTGCTAAAATCCAACATAATCTCATTCATTTCAAGTGCCTAATACAATGCCTTTCGAATGCGAACCCTAACATCGTAACAGTGAAATGTAAAAGAGGAATCGCCTAATTTATTTAGTCTCATTGGCCGATACTACTAAAGAAAACTCAATTGTGTGTAAAGGTTGCGTCAATCTGAAGCATAACTTTGCCTCTTTCGAGCTATGAAAGCAAAGAGAACAGATGAAGACTGAGAATTATCAAAAACCCGCAAATTAACCAAAACCTAGAAATGAATTATAAGCAAGAAATCAAATACGACCTACCATCGGTTTCGAGACAAATTCGGCACTGAATTTGTTCCCCGGGACCGGCTTCTAAGTCGATCTCGGTCGGCTCAGTGATCAGAGAAGGTGCAACCAAAGGAGAAGGATCGGCGCGATCAGCCATAGAGTTCGAGAGACGGAGATGAATTTGCAGAGTCTCAGGGCTCCTCCCTCGTGAATTTGAGAAGAAACAAGTTTTGTTGTTGGATTTCGCTAGAAAACAGTGGTGATGAAGGAGATGAATGGGGGTGTCTGCATAGGGGCATCAAACCATGAATTTGGATCATGGAGCACTCTTTGTTGATTGATGCACACATTGGTCACCAAGTATTGCAAATAGTAATATACTTGGTCAACTAAAATTTTGGGGTTACACCAACAGAATCTTGGCCCTGGTTCTCATGGTGCCTCAAAAACCTACATTGGTTAATATGTGGATTATTACAATATAAAAAACCTATATTGATAACAATTTAAACATGACTCATACAAGCTTGTTGAAATTACAATTTTTAAAGCAATTTAAAAATGGCTTAACATCTCTACAGGTAGGAGTCCCATACTTCTAATATCAATTTGAAAATAATAATAATAATAATAATAGACATTCAAATAATACTAGGGATTATCACAATTAAAAATAATAAATTCTCACAAATCATCAATTGAAGATAAAGTTCTTACTGATCACCAATTGGATAATTAAGTCCTCACCAATTACCATCACCAGACTTAGGGCTTGTTTGTTTTTTGGCAAAAAGACTTTTTGAGCACTTATATCTGCGGGCGGGTAGACATTTGGCAAAAAGATTGTTTGTTTTCCGGAAGACAAAATAACTCAAAAAGATTTTTTCATCTCTTTTCCGGAAAGACCTAAAAAACAACGCTTCTCTTTGTAGAATACATTTCTAAGCTACCTTCTCATCGCCTCCATCCGCTCGTTCCCTTTCACGATTGCATCTCCCAATGGCGATCTCTCCACCGCAGCCATCCTTCCGGCGAACGTCGCTCCTTGCTCTGCCTCCATCGCTCCATGTCGTCGTCGCCTCCGCCACCCCCCGATCAGATACGATCTGTTATGTTTCTTTTCGTTCTCCTCTCTCGTTTCTCTCTTCTTCTCTCCCTCTCAACCTGTATAATTAGTTTAAACTCCATTAATGGTGAGTTCCCGTCTACCATTTTCTCAATTAAAAACCTCAATGTTGTTGATTTCTCAAATAACTTCCTATTTATCTCTTTGATTTTGTTTTGCTTAAGATGTAAATTTTTCCTGTTTCCTGCTCTTATTTGAACAAGTACCTGAAACAATCAAAGTGAAACAAGTTATACTTCAACCATAAAAGGGCACCATAAAGTTCATGTTGAGATCATCAAAAACCAAATTATCATGTTTATTTTAAAGTAAATCAATAACATAATGCCTGTAATACATCGATTAGGCTCTAATTGATTTCGTTTTGCTTTGTTTAAGACTAGTTGCTCAACGAATACCATGAATATTGCAATCTCCAATTGTAAGCATAGAAAAAGGATTTATTCTTAAAAGAAATCCGAAAAAGACTGAAATACCCTTGAAATATTTTACTGCACCAAATCCAAAAGCCATCGTACCAAACTCTTAACTCCAAAGTGTTGGAATAAGGAAATTAATAGAAGAATTAAAGGGATTATAAAAAGGTTTTTGAAGTGTTTGAGTGATAATATGGGACAAGGGCAATTATGTCTTTTTTGGTTTTCATCAAATCTGTTAAGATTTCTAGTTTGCCTGGTCTCTTGTGATAATGATAGAGAGGTAAGAAAGAGGGTGTGGTTTGATATCTTTTGGGTCATTTGCAAAAAACCACATTAAAAACAAACAATATTTTGTATAAAGACTTTTTGAACGAAGGCATGGAAAAATACTTTTGGTCCACATCTTCTTCCGCAGACATGGAAAAAGACTAAAGACGTTTTACCACTTCAAAAACAAACACCACCTTAGAGTATGTACTCTAAATACTCTACGTATAAGATTGTTGATGTGAGGGTTCTTAAAGTGTGTCCAACTACTATCTTATTAGGGTTCTTAGGGGGGAGCGTAGGGGTGTGTATGATATCAGCCTTAGAGTATGTACTATGAACATAGGATCATTCACTCACAATGGCTACGGGGAAACAAAAATGTAGACATTACATACATACAAGAGAATGAGTAGAAAGGGGTGCAAGTTAGAGAGAGTAATGGGCATAAGTTGTGGTATTCGAGCCTTGAGAATGCGAGAAATGATGTGGGAATCTTAATGTCTCCGGAGCATAGATACAATATAGTAGATGTAGTAATAGGATAAATGAGTAACATTAGGGGGAGACTTTAATGGTCATATAGGAAGAGAAATCGACGAGTATGGTGGCGTGTTCGAGGTTTTGATTTGGTACTGGGAATGAAGAGGGACACTCCCTGTTTGAGTTTGTTATTGTGTACAATTTTGTAGTCTCAAACTCTTTTTTAAAAAGAGGGATACATATGTGATCACCTTTCCAAAGTGGGGGGCAATATACCCAAATTAATTACCTTATAGTGTGCAATAAAGATCATAAGGAATGCATCGATTACAAGGTGATATCAGGCTTGACATGCATATCACAACACAAATTATTGGTGTTGGTCTTACACTTGAGTAAAGTGTACATAAGGGAGCCATGGTAACTAGACGTAGGATTAGAATGGGAAAAACCTGACATAACACCACAACCCGATACAAAATTAGCGAGTTTGGGTAAGAGATTTCGACATATTTTCCAACTCTACCTAGGATCCTTTAGAATAACTAAAAATGTGTGACATAAATTTATATGTGATCTAAATAAAGGTCAACGATCAAAAGGGATGTAAGGCTATATATATAGATAGATATATATATATATATATATATATATAGATATATATATATATTATATATATATATATATATATATATATATATATATATAGAGAGAGAGAGAGAGAGAGAGAGAGAAAAAACTAGGTTCAATTATGGATTAACATCTATTGTGCGGACGTGTGGACAATGTTATTATGTAAGAATGACAAAGAAAATATGTTGTTTGATAATGTGAATATATTCAATCTTACATAACTATTGTTATTATCACGCATTATCACTAATTAAATCGTCTATAAGGTTATTATAGACATTTTTTTAATTATTCTCATTATGTCAAAATGTTTATTGAGTCCTATTCTGTAAGAATGAAAATGGGTGAAAAACGACGCGTGAGAAAAAAAATGAATAAGAATTAGTGAGAATGCATGAAAATGATGATAGTTGTGTGAGGTTGAACGTATTCACATTACTAAACAACTTATTCTATTAGTAATTCTCATATAATAACATTGTCCACACGTCCGCACAATAGTTGTCCATCCACATTATAACCTAGCCTTATATATATATATATATATATATATATATATATATATATATATAGACACATACACACACACATATATATATATATATATATATATATATATATATATGTATGTATGTGTGTGTGTGTGTGTTTGTGTTATATTCCCTTACATAACTTGTCTTTATCAGCTGTTCAAGCTTTTGAATTATCTTAATCACTTTTTCTCCCTTGAAAAGTTTAGTCTTGAGCTTGAACATGAATCTTTTTGAACCAACCAAAGCTTTCATGTACCCCTTTTGATATAGCTGAGTAAAAGGTATACAAGAGATTTAATTGTGCATTTGACCATATCAGTGTCAAGTTTGCATCAGAACTTATTATATTTCCCTCTACTGATCACATCTTGATGATTTCACCAACAATAAAAATGAACTAAAGATTGGTACATAACCATGTCTATAACCCATTTAGGACCTCTTTTATCACTTAATATTTCAACAAATAACTAACCCAAAGAAATGGTAACATAGGATCAGTTAAAATTCCCATATTATTTGCAAAGCCTAATCCTCACAAAATGTAGATCATTATAGACAATAACGTATCTAGCATGTTTATATCTCTTTTCTGTTGTTCCCCTAAACCCAATCATCCAAAATCAAACATTATACTCTTGAGCCACTATTGAGCCAACACCAGAAAAGAAAAAAAGGAAGATCGCTTGTCTTGCTGTGGGAATGTGAGGCCTTGATATCAAAGTTGGTGCAACATTCACAAAGCATTCGAGGAATGTCATTAGTGTTACACCAAATTTAAGGGAGACATTGATAGCATCAAAGAACATTGAGCCAAGTGAAACTTGTTCATTTTCTACTTTCAAATGGAGTAATGAACGAATAACCCTCACACATAATGACACAATTAACCATAAACAAATCAACCTTAGACCAAGTCGAAAAATGTTTTTTAGTATCAGAAGGATCCTAAATATCCCCATTTTGACCTCTTTAAGAAGATTACTGAAGGAAAAACCGTAATCTTCAGTGGGATAGGGATAAGAACTAATGCAAGCTTTTATCGACTCCAAAGGTACTGCTTGTACCTTCAGAGGAGAGGCCTTCATCTTTAAGCCTTTAAGTGTAATCTCTATGTTTGGCTGCATGGTTAAATAGATATGAGCAAACATATCATTTCTTGTGTACTTCACACACAATCTCATAGTCATTGGATGTGGTTTTTCCAGCAGAGATCTCGTTGTTACTCGACAACAAATCAAAGTGTCCAATTCTGACTAAGCTTCTGAAGGCGATTTGATTTCAACTAGAGGATCTATGTTCTCACTATGATATACAAACAACAATTTGAATTCAAGAACCCTAAAGTATATTTCTATTTTCAAAATTGGAGAAGGGTTATTAGAAAACATACCTTTTAGTTTATTATTATAAATAAACTTGAATTCCTTCTTTGTATAACTTCAGAAAGTCAACACTAGAAATCTCGTGTCTCTGATGGCTCACCCCCAAACACTAGAAGTTGGAGGCTATTGAAGAGAGAGGAGATGGAAGAGGATTTTTGGAATTCCTTAGAGGAATAATGAGTTCCAAAAATATGAGTCATAAGGAACCTTTATATTAGGTGACTAGAGGGGCTTGGATAAGGCAGGTTTCCTTGGATAAGCTTTATCCCTTTTTTTATCCTCAAGTTTCCTTAGAGCCAAGATAAGCTCTAGAAACCTTCTAGAACCCCCTTAGAATTCGTACAACCCCTAGGGAGGTTATTGTCACCTTTAGTCCTTCCACTTTTAATTATTCAAATTGATCCCAAAATTAATTCCAATTATTTCTGATTAATTTATAATTAAACAATATAATTTCGAATTAATATATTTTTCTCAAAACATATTAATAAAATTATTTATTTTGATTTCTAATTAATTTATTAATCATATAATAAATTAATAAATCAGTCTCTCTCTCCAAATAGCATTTCAGTCTCTTACTAGGTTTGAGGGCAACCCAAAAGGACTTTGTTAATAATTTAAGTTTATAATAATTTAATTAATGGATTAGCCACCTAATCCAACAGTCTTCTACTTGGATAAGTTTATAACTAAATTACAAATTCCAAATTAAACAACAACGTGTGCTTTCTGAAGCAACTGCCGAACTCTGATCTAAATAGACATTGGTCCTTAGATAAGTGATCAAATATTCCTTTGTTTTTCTAGATATCGTACGGACATGATACCTGGATTATTATCAATCTCATTGTCCAAGTTTAGTTTCTCGATTTCCTGATTTTTGATAATGACATAAGACTTAAAATTGAACACATCAATTGAGTCTTGGTTGGACCCAACACTACAAGTCAACACCAAATCACTGAGGGAGCCACATATATCGCTTTTTCCTGTTAGGGAAAAAAGAACGAATAAACTTTGACTTATATGCTTGTATCCTTTACTCACCAAATCATACATGACACTGTGTTTTATAACATCATGTTACTGAAGCGTTTACGCAACACCAATACACAACCGACTTGTAAATTACAACTCATATATCTATGTTTCAAGAATATAAGATATTATCATCTCAAAGTTACTCGTGATATAATCCATGAAGTAGTTCT